CAAACAAACAAACAGAGCAGCGTGGGCCATAGAGACTTCACAAACCAAGCGGTGATTCTAAGAATAAGCCCAGCATCCAGGCCATGCAGTGTCAGATTCAGCTCCTGGCTGGCAGCGCCTCTTATGGGGCCGGGAGGGCCCTTCATTCGGATCCGTTTCCTGGGATGCTCCATGGCGATGGAACGGCCCAGTCTGTACACGCCGCAACTTGGATGTGTCCCTCTCTTGGCCAGCGCGCTGGGAAAGCAAGGGGGCCATAAGGCGGGTCCGCGGGTCCACCATGACTCACTACCTGAGTGATTTTGGGAAAGTACTCGTGATCCATGTCTTGGTGTTTCGCTTCTTCAATGAGTTGAACTGGCTCAAACAGCACAAAAGGCTCCAACGGAGCCCGCGAGTTGATGTGTCTTTGGAGCCTTGAACACAGCGCCGGTCACCTTTTCCCCACTTGGCCCCTTGGCCCTCGCAGTGGAGTGGTGCGAAGCCCCATTGAGCATGAGCCTTGCTGCCTCTAGCTTGCTGAGAGCTGTGCAAATTCGAATCCTGAGTCAAGCCTCTTGCAACCTTCATACAAATCTGGCAGTCTATGAACGCCCCGCGGAAAACGGCCAGTCCACACCCGCGCCCTCTCGCGATATTATAGAACAAACATACGGGAAGCGCAAGGAAGGCTCATTTGCGGGTCACACACGAAAATGCGCACACAAGCAAGAAAGATCACACCAGTTTGGTTGCATTGCTTTCATTCATGTAGTGCCGAATGTTCGTTTCCCAGAAAATATCAATCAACATCGAGTTTCCCAAAGTTCTGTACTGGGGTGGTAGGCACTGGCAAGACAGAGGCTACACTGTCGCTAGCTTGCAGCTGTGCATTTCCTTTCCATCAAAGCAGAATCCAATCAGCGCTTGCGCTGAAGAATCCGTGCTTGACTTCAAGCATTTAGATTCATCTGACAAAAAACCAGACGATGTTCCCTGCTTGGGTTCCCATTAAATTCCAAGCCCCGGCCCCAACCCTGCGCTCCAATTTGTCGAATTAGATAGGTGGTTTGCTGTTTCCTCTACAAGAGCGGTTCAAATCCGAATCCAAGCCCATTAATTGCCTTCTCGGGGATATCCCAAGCCAATCCCAAGCCCCGGCCCTCCCCACTCCAACTCAGGGTATTGCGGGGCTCGCCTTCATCATCTCGAGCCTCTGCGCCTCCAGTTGTGCCAGCAGGTCGTCCACCTTCTCCCCTTTCGTGGCTGCCTGACAACCAGCGAGCGCTCGAGCGAGCGCTCGAGCGAGCGCTCCGTCGCTCCGTGGTCTTCATCGCATCTCTGCAAAGAAATTCGAGAGGTTTCGGCTATGGCTGTGTATCATGCTCATAGTAGGCACGAATACAGCAAAACGATGTGAGAGGAGTCTGTTGGCTCAAACAAACAGCCGTTCTCACACAGGCATCTGATACAGGAGGGTTGCGACACCTCCAAATGAGCTTTAGGGTTCCGTATTTACTGCTTGATCTTCGCGTAATATGGTGAACATGGATGCGCTCTGATTGCCGTGTGGCCGTGGAAGAAAGTGGGCCTTCCTTCTTGCGCTGGCTGATGCGAACAGAAATGTATCCATAAGGAAAGGACAATTATGTCCAGTAGACAACTAGGGACTCGGGAGGCTTGACTGGTGATATCAAAAACTCTTCGCAACACAATACATGCAGCAAATCTGTACGGAACAACACCTGCAACATCAAATTGAAGCACACGCTGCAAAAACACAGAACCGTACACTCAAACGACCAATGCACGGGAATTGCCAACAAAGCCAAAGCTATGCGAAACGAACGGCACAAGGCAGGAAGGCAAGCAGGTGGTAACACAATTGCATCTGAATGGAGCCTTGATCTTCTCGTGGTGCTCGTTCACCTGACACGTTCCAAAAAACAAGGCATCACTTCAGGGACCTATCTCAGTGATAGGAAAGCCAGCTGTATTCGCGAAGCCGGGGAGTGGGAGGTTTCACCATAGGTTGCGGTGGTTTCTTGTCAACACACATGCTTGGCGTCTTCTGCGTGCATTATTCTGTGTCTTTTTCTTCAAGTGCAATGAGTGAAGTCGCAAGGTTAACTAGTTGTCTAGTTCATTAGTTAGCCAGCTACTTGGCTGGTTCAGAAGCTAGCTGTGTTCCTAGCTAGCCGCATAGCTTCAACCTGAACGCTGCTTACTCGGCGGGCCAGTTTGCGAGCTAGTACATAATTCCTTGATACCTCGTTTCCTAGCTAAGTAGCAAGCTCAGTTGGCTAGTTAGCTAGCTAGCTTGCTGTTCAGGCAACTCGTTCGCAAGTACTTGGCTTGCAAGTTAGCTAGTTGGCTGGTTTGGTAGTTAGCTGTTGCAAGAGTGGGTTAGCCAGCTTCCTAGCTGGTTGGGCTAGCTAGCTAGCTGGTTACCCAGCCAGTCAACTAGCTAGTGAGCTGGTCAGGTAGTTAGCGAAGTCAACAGGAAGCTGGCTAGCTTGGCAGTTTGGATTGTTAGCCCAGGTAGAAAATTAGCTAGCTACAGCAACCAGTTGGCTGGATAGGTGGTTTAGCTACTCAGCTTGCCAGTGAAATAAATTGCTACTTAGTTCCTGTTTACAAAGCAGAAGAAACACTTATCTAACTTACTCAATAGTCGTAGTTATAGTTGTAGTTGTAGATATACGTATAGCTATAGCTAGTTTGTTAGCTAGATAGATAGACAGTTAATCAGTCAGTTGATTTTGTAATTTGTTGCTTGGTCACTTAGCAAGGAAGTACGTAAGTAAGCAAGCAAGTAAGGCAGTATATAAGTAAGTAAGCAAGGAAGTAAGTAAGTCATTAAGTAAGTACGTTAGTAAGTTACTTAGTAAGTTCCATGTTAGTTAGCTAGATAGCTTTAGTTGGATAGCTAACTAGCTAGGTAGTTAGTCAGATAGTTAGCCAAATAATTCGCTAGTCAGTTTGATTGTGCGTTAGGTAGATAGTGAGTTAGAGCGTTAGTTATTAGCTTGTTTGTTCGTTAGGTAGGAAGCAAGTCGTAGTCGTAGTTGGTTCTCTAGCTATTCAGTTCGTCGGAGAATTGCTTAAATAGTTGGTCAGTCAGTCAGTCAGGTAGGTCAGGTCAGGTCAGGTCAGGTCAGGCGAGTCAGCCAGTCAGTCAGCTATTCGCCGTAGTTAGCAGTTTAGTTGGATGATTACTTGGTTCGTTATTCGCTAGCTGGCTAGTTGGTTTGCTAGCCGATGAAACACACAACAACAAGCACGAGTTGCTGATGGTTGACCACCCGCCACTTGCGCAGAGGGTTGACGCCCAATGGCAACAGCAAAAGGCTCCGAGACCCCCGTTACGCATCGCCACCGAGACGGCTTGCTTGCACCCATGCTGAAGAGCCAACTTCATGCGCAGGGCCCCGTTTTCTGCCCGTCTCCATTCACGAATTATCTCGCTTTCTAGCCTTTTAGCCAGCTTTTGCACGCGCAATACATGCACTTCGCTCAGCCAGCAAAGCTCAATTACTTCTATATAGTACTGAAGCTTTTGTTCAGCTTCCTTTCCCGCGGGGTCGTTCTGCCCTATACTTTCAAGGGCGACACGTTGGGAGTCACGTTTCCGCGCAGGGGCGGGCCGGGGAGTCGCCCGTCGCAGGCTCGGCGCATTTGCGGGCGAAAGCTGGAGGGGAGGCTGAAATGCAGCCGCCTCCGCATTTTCATGACAGAGCCCTGGCAAAACCAGCAATTCATCTAACGCCTGCAGCTGGTCAGAACATGACAAAGGACAAGAAGCTTCTCTTCCTCTTCGTGTCCCCCTTGATGTAGCAGGAATGGTCACTTTATCTCCAGAATGAAACGTTTCTTGGTGCAGTATCCTGGGTATCCTGGCAGTCAGCTCCTTGCGTCACCATGTTTTTTTCTGGAGCAGCTTTTCTGCCAAGCCGAGCTGCGTTTCTTAATTACCCTCTCTTTCCGTCTTCTTTGGCGTCTGTGCCTTCCCCTCAGTCTGTCTCCCTCTCTCTCTCTCTCTCCCTCCCTCCCTCCCTCCCTCCCTCCCTCTCTCTCTCTCTCTCTCTCTCTGTCTCTCTCTCTCTCTCTCTCTCTCTCTCTCTCCGTCCCTCCCTCCCTCCCTCCCTCCCTCCCTCGCTCCCTCGCTCCCTCGCTCCCTCGCTCCCTCCCTCGCTCCCTCGCTCCCTCCCTCCCTCGCTCCCTCGCTCCCTCGCTCGCTCCCTCCCACACACAGACATACAAACACAAGCCAATGCGGCCGAAACTGCATGACAGCTTGTTTTGTCAGCTACAAAACGCCACATGCCAAAGTTATGCCAGCGTCGGCGGGTTGTCTATCACGCTACGATAGCCCACATCAATAGTCCTAGTTGCCCCACTACTACAATTGGACGGAATCTCTCAACCATACATTAATGCATTGTCCTTGGACAGTGGATTCATTTTGGTTGCGCCGTTAGAGGTCCATATCTGGTTGCGCCGGAAAGGCGATTCTTCAGCGTCAAGTTTTGGGGCCTTGCGACCCGCCTCAGGCTTCGTGTTCTCGTCTTCAACATTCACCGGCATGAAGACCCTGAGCTGCAGAAACGCATCACCAGTCTTTTTGGGGGAATGCCCTCATTGGCTTGAGCTTAGGTCGTGAATCAAGCAGGAGTTGCTTTGCCACAGGAAAACAACAGAGAAACCATATTCTGCCTAAGCGACTCTGAAATTTGGTGCAAAGTGAATCGGCTGAAGGGAAGGCGGCACAGGTGTCAACCGGAGCAATGCTTCTCCAAGATTAGTCGCATCTCAATCAACGAGATCTAGGACCACAATGGACATGGCATGCGATGTGAACCAATATGGACCAGGGGCTTCTTCAAGTGGTATGAGACAAGGCTAGGTCCCCAACCCAAAGTGTAAGTGGTCGATGAATAGATTCAGATCTAGCTGTATGCAACTGCTTCCTGATTGACCTGATCAGGTTTGGGGGAAAACAGTCCGCCGCTCCCCTAAAGCCTTTTAAATGTTTCCAGCTATGATCGCCCACACCACCCAACAATCGATAAGCTCCCAACAGCCACCTAGCAGCCTCCCCGTGTAGACTGAGGCACACAAATGGCGAGCATTGCGTTCCATCTAAGCTGCGAGCGGGCTGACTTTCATGTCGGGCACGTGGTAACTGGGCGGTATCCTTGGCAAGTGCTTGCCCAAGAGAATTGCGCGCCCGGGCTTGAATGAAAGAACCACCGTATTTCGCGGCAGTTGAATCCAGAGGGCA